TTGTCAATTTATTGGATGTAGGTGCCATCATGTGTGAATTATTACATATATATATATATATGATTTCTTCTAGGATAAGGATCTGCTCTGTTCTTCTCATTGCTGAGTGATATTTGTAACTTATCCTGGAATATTTCTTACCATCATTTCTATTAATTTGCACAGAGTTGTACCAATATTGCAGTAAGTTCTATTGCAAATGATACTATCGTGTATTTCTCTTACTGTATTCCATTAGATCTCCCCAACTACCTGACTGATTCTGCCCTGCTGAGTGCTGAAAATGGATCAGCACTGGGAACTGAAAACTTGTAAGTGATTTCTCTTTGTGTGACAGAACCCAGAGAAAAAAACTCCAATGAGAAAAAAAAACCACATGAGAGCTTTATAATCCTTGAACAATCCCTCCCACATAGCCTTTAGGGATCATGTAATAGTTGCTGCCTCCCCTAACAGTTTTCCCTTTGGAAAATGGACATTCATTGGTGTCAATTAGTAAATGGAATAAGGAATGTTTCAGCAAATCCCTTGGCTCCCAAAGCCAGAGCAATCATTGCAACTACGGGTCAGAGGTTTTTGGTTCTGAAGGGAGATGAGGTCATGGAGCTCTGTTCCTTTATCTTAGGGTTCAACTGTCTCCTTCTTCCATGATGCTGCTTCTTTTGTCAGGAGCTGCACCTTGAATTGATGGTGTGCACAGGTGATCATTGTGTACCTGAGTCTGGAAGGCAGAGCAACACAGATGGGAAACCTGGTAAGCACTCATGTCTGGAAATGTATTTCTAGGTAGAAACACAACAGTGTGAATTCTATGAAAGTAAGAGGAAGAATTTCTGGCATATAAACAAATTTGCTGAGGCCAATGGCTTTACTGCATTCGTACTAATCTCTGATGTATAAAAACAAGGTAAGAAAAGCATTGCCCAACTATTGAAGAATCATTCCAGTGATCATGAGTCTGACACAAACGTGATGAGGGATGGCAGTGATTATGTTTTTCCCACTTCCAACTCTTCATATTATACATGAACCAGGTGATACCTTCCCAGGGTGACAAACGTAGATGATGGCATAAACGATTGAAGTGAATGGTGAATATTATCAAAGCCATCTCACCTGGTGAGGAACTGTGATCTGGATCTGCCTCCAGGTGAGACACATTTCTAGGCACCACTCCATCTATGATGGCTCAGGAGCTGGGTGTGTCCCGACACTCAGTGCTGATGACTGTTGAGGCTGCTTTAATTTTTGAACTTGAGAACATGTTACTGATCTAAAGGTGACATTGTAATTGTGAATCTTATTTGACACTCATCTCCAGGTCCATCTAATCCATCTTCTGTTGTTTCTTCTGGTTTGGTGATACTTGAATGGTATGCCAATCATGAGTTTCAGTGTTTTAATATGATAGCTGACATTATTGAAAACCATTCTTTGGGTACAGAAGACATAGAACTGACCATGGGAATGTCTCCACAGCTCACATTATCTTGTGTGTTTGAAGACACACAACGCATATTTTATATTCTTGTATTCTATCCATGTTTACTTTGAAGGTAAATGCAATTAACAAATGGGATTTTTTATTAGCAGTTTGATAAACATAGAGATTATAAAATCTGAGACTCAATTTTAAATTGGTGAGAATTTAATGTTCTTTTCTGTGTGTGCATATGTGTGCATGTGTATGTGCATATATGTGTGTGTGTGCATATGTGTTTGTGCATGTGTGTGTGTGCGTGTGTGTGTGTGTGTGTGTGTGTGTGTGTGTGTGTGTGTGTGTGTGTGTGTGTGTGTGTGTGTGTGTGTGTGTGCCTGTGCCCGCGCGCACACAGGTGCAGGTTCAGCATGAGTTCAGGGGAACTATCACTTCAGTGTGCTGTTGGACAACTTAGATAACATAACCTTATTTCTTTTTGAAACAGGGGCCCTGAACTGCCTGGATCTATCTCACTTGGCTACCCTGGTGATCCGTAACTAGTTTTCCATGTGTGCTTGTCTGGAGCTTAGAATATAAGTATACTAGAATACATTAGTTATATTTTTATTTGATATCTGTAGATTGAACATATGTCATCCTATCTAAACTGCCAATAGTTAACCACCTGAGCTCTCTGTCCACCAGAGTAATTACTGAAATTCTATGCACAAAATTGTTTCTTATATTAGTTTTTATATTTCATAGATGATTATGAGTCCTGAACAAGTCTCACAAATGTAATTGTATTCAATTAATTTCAGAAACATTCTTATGTTTTACTATCAGCAATCATAAAAACATGTTAGTTGGAAAAGCAAATATTGGATATCCCTTGCATTCATCAAGTCTAACTTGGATAAAGGCAGTTTCTGTAGGAATATATTGAATTTTACACGATGTTAATTTAGGCTAGAATAGAACTGAAGACGTTGCCAAGTATATTGTTTCTTAAACTGTTCTCTGTAGGACTCGGTATATGAATATGCCAAGGAAGAAGTTGCAGGAAGTTTCAGGAAACATTATTTGCACTTTTATGCTTTATGATATAGATATAACATGATGACAAGTTTATTTGTTATACTCACAATTCATTACATCAGTCCTACAATCCTTGTGGGTTCTTGGTAGGATAGGACTTTGGGGACAAGAGTTCATATCTGTGGGAATCTGTAAGAGTCTGGATCACTGATGACTTGCAGTGAGATTTGCGTCAATGGATATATATCATATGAACTCTTACATTTCCTATGCATTTGGTCTTTGTTAATGCAGGTTCTATTCATTTTTAATGCTTCAGAGAATAGAACTGTGATTATTTGCATATTCAGGATATTCCTTTTTTTGATTCATGGTGACACTATGAGATTCAGGCTGTCCTGAAATTACCTATGTAGACTAGCATGGCCTTGAACTCACAATGTTTTGCATATCTCTGTGTTTTGGGTGAAAGAATGAAATGCACATTCCACCATATCTAATTGAGAGAGTTAATTTTTAATGAATGCATTGTGGGGTTCCTTGGTTAGAATATATTTCTTGCGCATATATTTTTATAATTTGACTTTGAAGGCATTTCCACAGAAGTAAAATTGTGAACAAGTAGACACATGCCTACTCCAGTCAAACATGTAAGTCATTAGGAATACCATGGACAGTGTGTCACATAACTACCTTATCCTTATTCTCACTAAGCATTGGTGTTTCATGCTAGGTTTAATTTATATTTCTGCTGCTGCATTTTGACATCAGGCAATAGATCTATTATTTAGAATGATGACATCTTTCCCCTGGTTTTCCCTCATCAGTGTGGTAGTTATACATTTCGTATATGTTTACCAACAGAATACATAGTTTTTTTCTGTCTTCACCACAATATCTCATTGGGTGTGTGTGTGTGTGTGTGTGTGTGTGTGTGTGTGTGTGTGTGTGTGTGTGTAATTTGATGTGCTGGATCTCTAAATTTAACCTTATCTAGCTCATCATTTGAACCTCATTATAACAATGTTTTATGTTATTTTACAAACTTTTTCTTATATAAGAACTTAAAAATCTTCACTTTGTTATGGCAAAATATATATGTTTTGAGATTAAATTTTGGATGCCAATAGCATGGAGCTCTTTCACACTGAAGCTGCAAATTGTTGTTTCCTTTCCAGAAATTTATTGTGTAAAGAACAGTTCATTCTGGAATGAACATTATTTCCACTTGCATTCAACTTGTGATTTCATTGAAATGTGGTGCTATTTCAAATGCTGAAGACTTTAAGAAATGTAGAGATGTACTAGAAATTTACTCTATAAATATGGAAAAACATAAATGTCAACAATTTCACTGAGAGTTATTACTGATGGCAAACTACTTGTTTTGAGACAGTCTTGTTAATTTACACACTCTGCCTTTGCAAACTGTACTCAAGTGATTGTTCTCCAAATGCATAAAAGCATAGGCATTTTCAATGTATAATTTGTCTTAGAGACATAATTGTTATTATACTTTGAAAGAAAAAGTGCTGACTGAAAGAATGGACTCCAGAAACTTCACTACAGGAATAGTGATCTCACTTCAAAGTACACTGGGAATTCTGGGAAATGTATGTTTTCTTTTCCACTATCTACTCATTTCCTACCGTGGACACACATTAAAGACTGTAGACTTAATTCTTACACATGTGTTCACAGCAAATTCCTTAATCATTCTCTCCAGAGGAGTGCCCCAGATAATGAGAGCTTTTGAATGGAAACGGTTCTTCAATGATGTTGAATGCAAACTTATTTTCTATGTTCACAGACTTGGCAGGAGCATGTCCATCACCTCTACCTGCCTCTTGAGTGTCTTCCAGGCCATTACCATCAGTCCTAATGTCTCCTATTGTAAAGATCTTAAAGTCAAATTACCAAAGTATGTTCACCTCTCTATTTCCTTCCTCTGGATCCTGTACATGATAGTGAATATGGTTTTCCCCATGTATTCAGCTACTAAAATTAATAGCAAAAATAAGACAAAAATGAGAGATTTTGAATTTTGTGCCTCTCTCAGTCGTAACAAAATAGTAGATTCACTGTACACAGCATTTTGGGTGTTCCCTGAAGTCTTATTTTCTACACTCATTGTATGTTCCAGCATCTCCATGATTGTCATACTTTATGGACACAAGAAGAGGGTTCAGTACATTTTCAGCACTCAGGCCTCCACCAGATTTTCTCCTGAATCCAGAGCCACACAGCACATCCTGGTCTTGGTTTGCACCTTTCTAGCTTTTTACACCATCTCCTCAATTGTACAAGGCTATATGGCTCTTTCTCATAATTCTACTTCATGGCTAATGAATATCACAGCTATCATTTCTATGTGTTTTCCTACTTTATGCCCTTTTGTCATGAGTTATGATTCCACTGTTTCAAGGTTTTACCTTTTTTGGATAAGGAATATAATGATGAAATAATTTTATCAAAATTATGTAAATTGCATACTTGTAATGTTGTATATTTAGAATTTGGATACTCAAGTCATTCAAAATATCAGTCTAATAAATTATGTAACATGTTATTTTGATGGTAAGATCATTTCACAGAATAATAGTAGCACATTCTACATTATACCATCTGTCCAGGAAAGCCACATGTTCACACCACATTAACTATTATAGAATTGGACTTCATATATCCTTTCATAATGTGGTTGATTACTTCTGTCCTATTTCTACCACTGTTGTATAAGTGAGCCTATCTTGACAGCCCAGTCTTTATCTGTAGCAGTTATCCTTCATTGCTATTTTATATTGATTGCTGTTTTTCCATAACAGAGAGCACAGCACCTTGTAGCAGTAGGAAATATAACCATTAGAGATGACTTTTCTAAGTCAGTATTTACTGGATTCCATATTTTATGATTCAAATATTTTTCAGTCACTTATTTGAACTCACAGTTATTTTGTGGCAGCAGACACAAGACAGGTCCAAGTCTGAAAATACACCAGACATATGGGCAGGGTGGATGTAGACATTCAGACCAATCACTATATGAAATACAATTGGCATTTGATAAATGCTAGGGAAACGAGAGGATCAGTTTCCTTAAACAGTGCTGCTGCCCTGTAGGCTGAGCGCATTTAGTGATAGGTCCTATACTCAATAATACTTAGTGAACACAAAATATTTGTGATATATTTACCAATAAAACAATTTAAATTTGGTTGGTAGATGGGGAGGGATGGATCTGCAGAATATTGATGAGAGATGTTCAATTTGATCAAAATACTTTTCTATGTTATGTATTTGGAAGAAGCTGTGTTGTTATAGGTTAGATTTGTTTGGAGAATACAGAATAAATATTCAAGAGGCAGTGGGATGAATAGTCTTTCAAACTCAGAAGAACAAAGGAGTTACATTTTGAATAGTTTCTGAGAAGAGGGCGGTCACAATATGCAGCATACATAGTAAGCACCCAAGATCATACTTTCTTCATTAAAAAATATACACCAATAATATTGTCCACTCCCCCTTTGCTATCCTTTTCTCTTGACTCTGCCCTTGTATCCCCCATTCACTCCTTTTCCATCTACACTAAGAGGGGGTAAGGCTTCCCATGGCAATCAACAAAGCTTGGCATATTTTCTTGAGTGATTTCTAATGCCAATTTCAACTATGAAGGTCAGAAATTTACTCTCTTCAACAAACATGTGTATGGGGGGACATATTCTGTTGTTGTTGCTTTAATAATAGTTTCAATTATTTTACATCCTGATCTCACATTCCCTTCTTCCTTTCCTCCTTTCCCTTCCCAGTGACTCCCATCTATCCCCCTATCCAGTCCTCATGTTTCTCTGTTCAAAAAGGGGCAGGTCACATATTGGCATCTACAAAGTATTTACATCAAGTTGAGGCTGACAAAGCTCCTTCCCCTGTGCCAAGGCTAAGGGGGCAGCCTGTCTTAAATAATATGTTCCCCATAGGCAGCTCAAGTGCCAGGGAAACATCTTGATCCCACTAATAGGAGGCCCACAAACAATGTGACACAACTCTTATATAGTGTGGGCCCAACCTAGGTAAATGTTTTTATGGTCATTGGAATTTCACAGAGTATTTGTGTCAGATAGGAAATTCTGAAGTCCCTAATATTGATATTCTAGCTAACTTCACAGGTGCATCCTGTAACTATGCCATGCTCAATGAAATGAGAGTCTATTATACAAGAAGAGTTCTGTTCACTACATCTCTCATTGTCCTATAGCAATGACCTTTACAAATTCAAATCCACCATCATCCTTGACTTCCAAGCAGACATTCTAGTATATGCAAAGCTTTACTCTATGTTATGTGGCTGATATTATTGTTTACTCTACTCAGGGGAATTCAGTCCCAACCCTCTTGATCTTCACTCATGCCCAAATACTCCATCAACCAGCAATACTCATCAATCTCATTATTGGGGAAGGGCATTTAAGGTAGCCTCTCCACTATTGCTTAGATTCTTAGTTGGGATCATCCTTTTAGCTCTCTGGACATTTCCCCAGTGTCTTATTTCTCTTTAAACCTATAATGGCTTCCTTTATTAAGGTGTGTTTTTTTCTTGCTCTCTACTATTCTTCCCCCTACTCAGCTTTCCTGTGTCAGTTCGGAGGCCTGAGAAGCCTATGTGATCTCTAGCAGTGGAACCAGTGTTTATCCCTTGTGCATGAATGTTCTTTGGGTTCCCATTCCCCATGGAGGGATATTCTCTCAGCATAGATACATGGGGGAGGGCTTATGCCCTGCCTCAAATGATGCAATAGAATTTTATGATTCCCCCATGGAAGGCCTGACCCTTCCTGGGGATTGGATGGAGGATGGGATGGGTGTCATTCGGGGATATGGGAGGAAGGGAGGGAGAGGGAACTCGGAGTCATATGTAAAATAAGATTGTTTCTAATTTAAATAATTTCTTTAAAAAAAAGTCCAGATGCTAATGTCCTGTTACAGAAACAACAACCAAAAAGGATAGAAGATTAAATTTAACAATGTTCAAGCAAATGAAAGAAGACATAAACACAATTTCAGAGAATTAAAATAAATAAGACACTTAATACAGCATATAATTATAGATTTCATCAAAGATAATTCCTAAGGAATTAGCAATCTCAATGACTACATGAATGAAAAACTGCATGAGCCCAAATTAAAGCCCAGTAAACAGCTTCTTCAACACAATGGGTCATGAGGAAAACAGAGTCTCGGCGCTAAAAATAAGTTAGAAAAATGGATCAATCAAAGATTATTACTGATGAATATTAAGAAAATATGATTGGATGTGACTGAACTCTGGAACAACCCAAAATGTCCAATATTAACATTATGGGAAATGAAGGAGAAAAGAACAGAATAGCCTTGTAAATCATTATTGATATAACTATAGAAGAAAATTGCCCATATTTGGAGAAAAGGGGATTCTGCAAAGCACAGATAGGTAATAGGTCAACTTAAACTGACAGATATGGGCCAGGATCAGGTGTGGATTTTTCCTTTGCATCCAATTGGGAATGCTGAATGGATTGATGGTTCCATAGTAGGTCCATGCCTCCATTTTGGTCTCCAAGCCTCATGGAGTAGCAGGAAGATCACTGGCATTCAGTTGGCAGGGCTATGGTGAGGTACAATTGAAAAAACTCCACTAAACTAGAGAAAAATTGCTCAGAGTTTATATCCCAGCATACCCTCTTCAATTACTTTATTACTGTCTTTATTAGTTAGTGTTAATATTGCCATCATGAAATATGACCAAAGGTAAGATGGGGAGGAAAGGGCTAATTTGTTTTATGTTTTCATATCAGTGTCATTACTAAATTAAATCAAGACAGGATCTCAAGCAAGGCAGAAAGCTGGAGGCAGGTGCTGATGCAGAGGCCATGAGGAATGCTGCTTACTGTTTAAGTCCTCATGGTTTGCTCAGGCTGGTTTCTTATAGAATCCTGGACCATTAGACCAAGTGAGGTCCCACTCAAAATGGTCTTGACCCTTCCCATCAATCTGTCACTCAAAATTTCTGGTCAAACTTACCTGGAGGGTCAGACTCAATAATAGATATATACATCAAAATGTAACTTTAGCATATCTAGACTTTCCAGAAACAAATTCATTATGAATGTGATTTTCTCTGTTTACAACTTTTGTGGTGGTAATTTTTACGTCAACATGACACAAGCTAGCATCATCTGGGAAGAGGGACTGTCCATTTAGAAAAATACCCTGACAAGACTGGTATAAGCAAGTTCTTCAGGAATTTTATTGATTTATTATTGACATAGGGGACCATGACTACTATGGGACAAAAAATTTCTAACCTGTAGGTCCTAGTCATCTTCAAAAAGAAATGGAGCAAGCCAATTGGAGAAAAACCATTAAGATGCCTTCCTCCAGGGCCTCTGAATCAATTCCTGCCTCCAGAATCATGACTCCAGTTCCTGCCCTGTCTTCCCTCAATGAAGGACTAATTCATAACTATAAGCTGAAATAAGTCCTTTCATCTCCAATTTATTGTTGCTCATGGAATTTTATTTTAACAATTCAAAGACTAAGGCAACTTTGCATCTGGAGACATTTGTTTAAAAAGACTTTTGTCAGTTTAGAAGTGGGTGTTTTGTATTCTCTATTTTTGAAGGCCTTCACCCCAGGTATGGGTCTGTGTCTTTACTGTGCCTACCTACAATGCCTCTCTTCTGTATTACCCTCTGATGAGATGCATTCTATCCTCCAAACATCACTTCTTAGGTCTCCTTCTATCTTGCTAAACCCAAGCACATAATATAAGTGATATTTAAATTGCTAAATTAGGTTACTAGAAGTACCAAATGTCCATCTCTGGACTGTCCTTTCCCAAGGATGACACAGAGGCAAGATATTCACTAGAGCACCCTCCACAGTAGGTGTCCTGGGGGCCTCCTTTGAACCTTCCATAGCACCAGCAAAACAGGAAGTAACAGCCAGGTCCTAAGCTGGCTCCTAGTGCCTCACCTCTTGTCACACTAAGACTTGGATCTTCACTGAATAATTCCAATTGCTATCTGCTTTCAACCCGCATGTGTTCAAGTGTAGAACCACAGGCAGGCATGAGACTACTGTCTCTTCACAGGCTACTCAGGCAGTGAGGCATCTTTAAATTCAGCATCTCCCTTGAAAATAGCTTAGCCTTTTCATAATCTAAAGCTTAACATCCCTTTGTCATGTAGTTTGTTCCACATTTAAGAAGATATGTGTACTAGACAAAATTTCTTTTGATCGGATTTTTCTGAAATGTATTTTTTTATATATAATAACTGATTCCATAGGTGTAAAGGCACTGCTGGTCTTCCTTTGGGTGGTGAATTAATGATACTGGTAAAAGAATTTAAAAGTTTTAACACAAATTATGGACAGTTAAGCATAAATTTCCTGGCAAGACTGTTAGCCTGGAAATGAAACATCCTGTGAA